GAAAACCTCTTGCTTGACTATAGCAATAGAACTACCTGTGTGACCTCAGTCAAACCAAGTCACTATCCCTCTCAGGATCAATTTGCTCATCCATAATATGAAGGAGTTCCTTCTCTACAGTATATAGAGAAAAATCCTAATTTCCTAGTTAACATTCTACCTTATTTACAGTCAAGCCATCAACCTATATGAAAGTATTTTCACATACTTTCAACATACAATTTACTCCAACACAACTGAGCTCCCTCACCGTTCCCAATGTCCTCTGCTTTTCTGGCCTCTGCCTAGGACATCTTTCCCATCCCCAGACATCTTTCCCATCCCCCAAATGCTTCATGTTAAAAAACTGTTTAATTTTCCAAGCCCAGTCCAAAGTGACTTTCAGGAACTGTCTTTGATCTCCTTGGCTGCAAGCCCTTTGCCTCTCTTTTATGGGTGTGGATCTCATTCTTGGAATATTATAGTTGTTTATATTATTTCTTCTATCTCTTACTTAACTCTGTCTTCTTGAAGAGCAGAGGCTATTCCTAAATCAGCCTATATCTCCCAAATTGCCTTTGGTTCATAGCATGCACTTAGAATCATTATACTGAATGGATTCAGGTTAGGCCGTATCAGTAGTCCTGATTAAAAGCCTCTGAGTTTCTGGAATAAAGACCAAAATCCTTATAACGACCCATTCCAGCCATTCCACCTTTTGTTTAATTTCTTAAATTCACTATGCTTCTCTCATCTCAGGGAGCTCCTGCATGCTCTTCTTCTCATCTAGAAAACTATTCCACCTCCACCATCACTACCACCTTCATGTTTCTATTTAGTCCTAATATCACTTCCTCAAGGAACCTTTTCTTAAACCCGATGCTAAGGCCAGTTTCCTCTGTTATATGCCTTTATAGCTCCCAACCCCCATACTTTTCCTTCATAGCATTTATTGTTGCTGAAATAACATAGTAGTGTGATAGTCTGATATATTGCCTCTTCCCCATCAAACCATAAGCTCCAAGTAAGCAAGGATGGTGTGTGTCTGTTTTGTTCACCTTTATATTATCTGCATGGTCTAAGCACAGCACTGAATAAATAGCTATTGAACGAATGAATTGATTAATGACTGATTTAAAGGTAAAGACTTGGGACTTAGAGTGTACAGAATCTTTGCTTGGCTTCCTATAATCCAGTGATGGTGAACCTATGACACGCGAACTCATTTTTTTGGTTGACTTTTCTTTGTTAAATGGAATTTAAATATATAAAATAAATATCAAAAAGATACATCTTTGTTTTACTATGGTTGCAAATATCAAAAAATTTCTATATGTGACACGGCACCAGAGTTTTTCAAAAAAAAACCCAAAAGTTAGGGTTTTTCAAAATGCTGACACGCCGAGCTCAAAAGGTTGGCCATCACTGCTATAATCCCTTCAAAGTAAAATTGGGATGCCAGGTAGCTCTCTGAGACAGGTAAGGTGGCCTTTTATTCACCATAAGAAATTTATAAAATAGGATAAATACTGCCTCTCTAATGCTGGGAGGAAACCAAAATTGCCTTTCTTTACTGGCAGTATGACCCCAGAAGGCATAATTAACACCAAGTATCTTATTCATTCACTTAACAAACATTTATTAAGTACCTACTCTAAGCCATACACTAGGATTGTGGCTGATAGTATAATAAACTAGACTGATACAGCACCCTACTTGATTGGAATATTTAATCTAAGACTATAATTTATTATATATGCTTTAAAAAATCTTTTATGACTGTCACATACCAGAGGGTGGAAGATAATCTGGCAGAGATGATTTAGAAATTGTAACAAGCCCAATCTGGGCCTGTTAAATTAGTTAGGCAGGTACCCTAGACCAGTGTTGGTCAAAGTGTGGTCCAGAGAGCAGTGCTTGTCTGTGAATGTTTATTACCAGACAGTGGTAACCTAAATGCAGAAACTGAGAATAAACACTTACAAAATGTTACAGCAATTTAACAAAAGTAATTTTTCTGTTGAATCTAATAATAAACCTATCAACTTATATTTTTATGCTTTTCCTTTAATTTTTTAGTAATGTGTAGTTAATGTATTTTACTAAAGTAACAGTCTATGACAGAATGGAATATTTTGGAGGAAAAAATGGTCCTTTACCAAGATAGTTTGCAAAGCACTGGAACAGCAAATTCAGGATTACCTGGCAGTTTGTTATAATGGAAAATCTCAGGTGCCACCCCAGATCCTCTGAATCAGAATTAGTATTTTAACAAGATCCCCAGGGGGTCCTTTTGCACATTAAAGTTAGAGAAGAACTGGCCTAGATGATTTCTAAAGCCCCTTAGAACCTTCAGATTTTATAATTTACTTCAGATAAAAAACTGCAGAGGTGATAACATCCACCTCATCATTTTATAGATGGAAAAACTTAGGTCAAGAGAGAAAAAGTCATGTGTCCAAGATAATTGGCAAATTAGCAGAGGTAGGACTATAACACATTTCCCAACACCCAAGTCATTTTTCCCCTCTAGCATACTGCACGATCACTCCTATTCTACTGAATCCCACTCTGCACCATCCCTCAGTGATGTCGTTTTATCAGAAAGTATCTCAGAAACTAACTTATTCTTTTTCCTTCCATAGACTGTGTTAACTTTAAATCACCACTATTTCAACTGTCTCCTTTATGATAATTACCTTTGACCTATGCTTCTCAAATCTTACCATATGCATATTATCTGACTGCCAGATGGATATTCTGAGCCTTCAGAAGGACTAGCACCAACTGATCCCTGGTCTTCAGAAAAAGAGAGCTTATTTGTTCCCATCAGTCTACTTGATATCAGATATCAAGGAAGAGAGCACACACTCAATGCTGCTTTCGAAAGCTCAGTACTTTCAGTTTGTGGTTGACAATCAAGAGAATAGGATACTAGACCATATTAATAAAAGCCTAGGCTCCAAAATGAGGCAAATGATGACTCTTGTGGTATTGTCAGACATGATCCTTGAGGGGAAAGGTATGATTGCTGTCTTGAACTATCTGAAGAGCTATTATTAAGAAGAAGCAAATTTGTTTCAGGTAGTCCCAAAGAACCAATGAATAAATGTTATGGGGAGACAGAGCTTGGCTTATAATGGAGATCATTATCTGACAATCAGAGTTGCTCAAAGATAGAAGGAGCCATCTAATGAGCTCTCTATCATTGCAAGGAAATTCAAATAGAAATCAGTCAACAAATTGAATGCTTGGAGCAAATTAAAGACCTAGGTGGAGAAATAAAGCTTAAGGATCTTTAGGGGTCATTCCAGTTCCAAGGTTTTAGTATTCTAAAATTTTCAGGGCAGAGTGACCCTAAACTGTCAGAAAATAAGAGCGAGATCTGGTCCTAAAAAAAATTGTTGTTTTTTTTTTTTTTTTGCTCAATGTGAGATGGATGAGGTTATGACAGTGGCAAAGTGAAGTCTTTCCAGGCATCCTTTTAAAAGGAAAGCAAGCTGGCCAAGAAAAGCCATTGGGCAATTTTTTTTTTCTTATGCTACACAAAGGCCAGAGTACTATTTCCGCCCCTCATGTCTTCCCAAGCAGCACCCTTCCTAGTGTACCTACATTTGTCTAACAGAGAAAGGTGCAAAATTCTCCCAAAGGAGGCAGTAGTGCTTAATTGTCTCTAGACTATGCATTCTGGAATCAAATTGTGTTTTAATTCCAAATTGGGACAGTTAATTACTGTGTAACCTTGGACAAGTTACTTAACCTTTCTATACCTCAGTTTCCTCATCTGTATATCAAAAGATAATAATAGTACCTTCTTCATAGGGTTGCTATAAGAATAATACACATTAAAACCTCATCCCAAGATCCAAAACTTATTAAGCAGCTAGAAATATTATTAATAATGTTACTGTTATAATTAATATCATGGACACATTAGTGTTGCTAACTCAAAAAGCCCCATTAAGCAACCAGGTCCCTCCCACTACCAGTTCAGAGACGCTATATTACAAGAGCTTCAGCCAGTCCTTGCATAACTCCAGACATCCAGAACCTGCTGTCCCTCAATAAACCATACCATTCACAACAGGAATCCTGGCTCCTCACCAGGTCTCTCTAAATCTAACAGACACCCCTCCCCCAGTCCCTTGCCATAGTCAGAGGAGCTGCAAACTGGAAGTCAGTTCCAGACAAACCATCAGGTGTTTCTTCCCTCCTGAGGACACAGCTGGATCAAATTCCATGCCTACCAGTGGGATGGGTAAGGTATCCGAATCCCTGGTCTAGACTGTCAGCTCAACTACCTGGGATGGGAATTGGTCAGGCAATGGGGTTTCCCACAGAGAAGCAAGAGAAGCCTCCCAAGTGTGTGAAGGAACTCAGTCCTAACCCCACAATGAGCCTCTTAAAGGAAGGGGGAAGCCTCAATCTGCTTTTAAAGGAAGCAGTTATTTACAACTTTGTACTCACTTGCACCTGGGGAAGGTAATAGGAAGATGGGGAAAGGGGCTACATGGTATTCTCCTTGTTTCTCATTTCTAACAAGGAGAAGCAGCTGCAGAGAAAGAGTTAAAGGAGAAAGGAAGCTCCAGCCATTACCCCATCCCCATACCTAAGGCTGTCTGGGGGGTCATGACAGTGCTGTCTGCTATGGCTAGGGGCCACTTGGTGGCTTTCTGCAGCAGCTGCTGCCTCCCCCCGCCCTACCCCAAGCAATTTGCAAGGTCAATGCTGACCTGCTTCCAAAGAGGAACAAAACAATTCACTGACAATGAAGCAAATCTCCCATACACCACATCTCAAATCCCCTCCCCAAATCAGGTTTTATCCTAGTGCCTTCCTGCCCAGATGCAGACTCTGTGCTTCCACCAGCCCTACTGGGGAACCCAGCATAGCATCACAGCTGCAGAGCATGTCTCGCCTTCCCCGCCAACCCAAGGAGACTCTCAGTACCGGGAGAGATGCTATCGCTAAAGGAGACCTGAGATTGGGGGAGGGGAAGGAGGGACATCTGGGTTTCTTACCAAGCGCCACAGTCACTTCCTGAAGTGGACAGAAGAAAAGGATGAATGAACTGAAACAAGTTAGAGGTTGAGCCCTCACAGAGCTCAGCTTCCTCTTCTCTTTCTCTGGGTCTCTATCCTGGTCCCTCTCTCCTCTGTCTCACTGGTTTGCTTGCTGGCTTGCCGCGCTCACGATCTCCCTCACCCTCCTCTCTCTCTCTTCCTCTCTCCTCCCCCTGCTCTTCTCTCTCTCTCTCTCTCTCTCTCTCTTTCTCTCCCTCCCTCCCTCCTCCCTTCCTCTATCCCTCCCTCTCCCTCCCCTCCCCTTCTTTCCTTTCTTTCTTTATATTTCTCTCCCTTTCTTCCTTTCTTCCCTCCTCCCCTCACCCTTTGCTGGCTTCGGATTCACCACTGACTGGTGCTGAGCACGCGGCTGTGCTGAGGCTCTCAATGCAGAGCTGCAAGGCTTTGAATCTGTGGTTGTTTTAGGAAAGACTGAAGTAGTGTTTTATTCTGTAAGGTATCCAGCAGAGAAATCTAGGGAAGCTCAAAGAGAAGGGGAGGAGCAAAGGAAGCAAGGGGAAGAGAAAGAAAGCAAAAGGCTAAAAGCAAATGGGAGGATAAAGGAATTACCATAGCTGATCTGTGGTGTTTACTAGCTGCTCCAAGACAGAGAGAAGTGGTCTGTATCCCTTATATCCCTTAGCCCAGGCTCTAAATAAAGCTTTGACAATCCTGTCCACATTACATTTCTGACAAATATGAGATTCTAAAAATTGTACATCAAAGGTTGTCATTCCCACCCAGCTAAGAAGAAAGAGTTCAGCGACATTGATCCCCTAATAACCCAAAGGCCACCCCACCCCCAACCAAGTAGAAGTATGAACCCAATTCAGAACTGTCAGCTGGAACTTCCCTTCAGGCAAAACAGAAAAGCAGCAGAATGACAATGTTTTCCTTTAAAAAAAAAGCCTTTGATGGGAATGTAAGTGTACATAAGTGTGTGAGCCAACATGTGAGTTTGTACAAGGGGGAAGAAGAGGTGGAGAGAAAGAGATTAATTAACTCAACATATAAAATAATTATATTCTCATTGGGGTAAAAAAATAAAACCTGGGCAAAGTATAATAATAATGCAACCAAGGGTGGACAGAGACCTGGGCTAAGAATAAAACAAAGGAGCTTAGATTTGAGTTCTGCCTCTGAAAAATCACTCCACTGTTGCCTTCCAGTCATTTCTTCAATCTGGCCCTCATTATCTCAATGGCAAAATGAATAGTGATGGATGTAGATGATCTTGAAAGACCCTTTGGGACCAAACAATCTAGGCTCTAAGACAGGAAAATCCCATGTGAAAGAGGAATTAATCTCTAAAGAGTAAATACATAAACTACCAAATTTCAAAGGTCCTCCAAAAGTGAGTACCCAAATTGAACCCCAAATCACACTTGATAGACTTTCCATTTTGAGTGTTTCAGGGGTAATATGAATTTAAGCATATGTATAAAAATCTGCTCCTATCAAAGAATTTAGCTTCTGCCTACATACAATGATTAGCACTAAAGTTTCCTTAATAAAACACCTTATACTGTGTTTTCCAGTCCATTTAGTCAGAGTCAAAATGGATACACTGGCCAGTGCTGCTCTGTTGGATGGAGCATAGTCCTGTGTCCCACACACAGAAAGGTCATAGGTTTGATTCCCTGTCAGGATGCCTGTTGGAAGCAACCAACAGATGTTTCTTTCTCACATTGTCACATTGATGTTTCTCTCTCTCTCTCTCTCTCTCTCTCTCTCTCTCTCTCTCTCTCTCGTCAATAACCATATCCTCAGGGATTGAACATGAGTTATGTTGTATATGTTAAGTAAGAGTACTGGTCTCAGTATATATACAGTGACTAGGACATGGTTGGCATTTAAACGTTTTCCAACAGTGTGCTATTTTTCTAAACCACTATCCTGTTGGATCCTCCCCCCTCAAAAAAAAATCCCTAACACTCTACTCCTAACCAATAAGGCACATATGCTCCACTCCAACCACATACTTCTTCAAAAGCATATAACCAACATTGAGTAAAGAGAGACACAGGGATCCTTAGACTCAGAGTCAGTGAACTGAAAGGACCCATAAAGATAACTGTCTTCTTGTATGGAAAGAGAAACTGGCCTGCAGAAAAAATACAGTCTATATAATGTCATAGTGAACCAGTGACTAAATCAAGACCAGCACCCAGACTGCTGACCCCAGTTTTAGTATTTTTGTCTACCAAAGCAACATGTAAGTTGTTCATAAAGCAAGTGTTTATGTGGGCACATAGTTAAGCACACTCCTTCCTGCAGAAGTATGGATTTTTGTGTGTATTGTTTTTGCATAAATATCCATTGAAATGAACAGATTAGCAGAATGGCAAAAAGAAATTGGCATAAGACTGCTGTTTTATTTGCTAGGACTGTCATAACAAATTGCCATAAATCTGGTGGCTTAAAAAATAGAAATGTATTGTCTCACAGTTGTGGAGGCTAGAAGCCTGGTATCAAGATACTGGCAGGGCCCAAAAGCTCTGGAAGGAGAATCTTTCCTTGCCTCTTCCAGCTTCTGGTGTGTTTTTTAATTCCTTGGCTTGTGGAAACATCACTCCAATCTCTGCCTCAGCCTTCAAATTATCTTCTCCTTGGTGTCTCTATGTGACCAAATCTCCCCATCTTTTCATTAGAAAAACCCTAGTCATTGGATTTAGGGCCCACCCTAAATCCAGGATTATTTCATTTTGAGATCTTTAATTACTTCTGCAAAGACAACACACAACACAAATAAGATCCATCTTAGATTCTCAGTGCACATAATTTTTTTGGAGACACTATTCAACCCACTACAGTGGCCAACTTCTTTTTCAAATGAAGACACTAAACAAATAAACCATCTAGGGTACCATAATTTTTAAAAAATATATATATTTTAATACAAATAAGTTAGATGAAAATACTCTCATAACAAAAACGATTCTTTATACAATTTTAGCTATGTAAAAAATTAATAGCATTTTCATAAATGTTCTCAGTTCACTGCAAACCACAGAAAAACTATTATGAGAATTACTTCTGGTAGTGGCAAAGCAAAATCTGAATGCATTGAAAAATAATCATAAGCAGGCATGAATTGGAAAAATGTTGACAATTGGAAGAAAGGAACAATACTAGGTGAGTATTGTCCCTTTTTAGGAATTTTTGCCTGAGGGCAGGCCCCAGATCAAAGCAGTAACTAAAACTCTGTCTAGAGAAATAATAAGTGAATGTTGGAGTACTAAATGCTTAACAAGTGCTACGTGCTAAATGCTCTCCAGGAAAAATAAATAAAAGCCCTTGCTAGCATTTCCCAATTTCCATAGTGTAAATACTCTCACATGGCCAATTCCATCAATATGAACTTGAGAAGAGATGTGCAGTGCCATTTGGCTACCTAACACAACTGCTCACAGTCCTAGTGGCTTGAAGATCCAGCAGACAGAGTTCAAGATGACTGCTGAAGATGGAATGTGATGAGAGAAATATAAGAATGGACAGAACTACAAAATGGGAGACCCTAATTTTGTGTATAAACTGCCCAAATCTTTGGTGGAATCATAAATAATGCATGTGGGGACAGATTCCAAAGAGCTTAAATAAAGCTGCTCACCATAAGGGAGAATTTGGAGTTTCAGTTAAGCCATATTAGCTGCTTAGTAAAACAAATAAACAAAAGCAACATTCCACAGAGAAATGAAAGAATATAGAAATCCTACACTATGTCATTCACAAAGTTCAGGGTACATGCCAAGTTAAATAGGAAAAAAACAAAACACAAAGAAACAGGAAAATATTACCTATATTCAAGAGAAAATACAATCAATGGAGACCAGCCCTAAAATGAACCAGATGTAGAAATTAGCAGAAAAGGATTTTAAGTCATTTATCATAACAATACTAATGGACATAAAAGAAAATGCACTCTTAATAAATGAACAAGTGAAAAACCATAGCAGAGATATAAAAACAATTTTAAAAATCAGATGCAACGTCTAGAACTGAAAATTAAAATATCTGAAGTAAAATTTACTGCATGGGCTTAACAGCAGATTTGAGATGAAAGAAGAAAGAGTAAGTTAACTTAAATACTAACTAATATATAGTATTCAATCTGAAGCACACAAAGAGAAAAGATTATAAAAGATTAACAGAGCCTCAGTGATCTTTTGGATAATACAAAGTTCTAATGTATATGTAATTTGAGTCCCAGAAGTCAAAGAACAAAAGAGGAAGAAAAATTTTTGAAAACAATGCCCAAAATATTTCCAAATATAATGAAATAAATATTTACAGTTTCAGGAAGCTCAATGAACCCTAAGTAGGTACACATCATAGTAAAATTATTGAAAATCAAATATAGCCCTAGCCGGCTTGGCTCAGTGAATAGAGCTTCAGCCTGCGGACTGAAGGGTCCCAGGTTCGATTCCAGCTGAGGGCACATGCCTGGGTTGCGGGCTCGTTCCCCAGTAGGGGGTGTGCAGGAGGCAGCCAATCAATGATTCTCTCTCATCACTGATGTTTCTATCTCTCTCTCTCCTTCTCCCTTCCTCTCTGAAATCAATAAAGAAATATATTAAAAAAAGAATATCAAATATAAAGGGGAAATCTTGAAAGGAAAAAAAAATAACATACTGAGGGGGGGAAAATGACCACTCACCTCTCATAAGAAAAAAAAAAAAAATTAAAGTGCTGAAATTCAAGAAAAAATCTACCAAGATTGAATTTTACTTTCAGAAAAAATATCCTTAGGGATAAAGACAAAATATGACACTTTCGAATAAGTAAACATTAGACCAGTTTGTTGCCAGCATATTTACAGTGTCAGAAATCCTACAAAAAAAATTCTTAAGCATGAAAGGAAATAATACCAGATGAAAAGCATGATCTTAAGGAAAGAATGAAGAACATCAGAAATGGTAATATGTATAAAAATAGAGACACAGCTGATTCTCACAGCCAGTTGGCCTGGAGGTCAAATCCCCCTAGTATTAACTACAACAATCAAGGCTTAACTACAACAAGACTGAGCACAAAGACCACAAGGGGGTACACCAAGAGTGTCCTCCGCAGGTAATTGGAGAGGCTGAACCACTGGA